GGCTAGCGTTGTGATGGATGTCAGCGATTGTTTTTTCCGTTTTAACTTTATCTTCTTGTAAAGTTTTAATATTATTTAGGAGATTTTGTATTTGTTTCTCTAGCTCTATGATTCTTTTGTCTATTTCATCATTTGATGTGTGCTGATGCTGGTATTGAGGAGTAGATGTAGAGGGTTCGTCCCAGTTATTAATATCGTTCATATTGTGTGTTTTGTTGTATGGTTGTCTTGTTTGACGGGGGTATTGTGATTTATTAGGTAGTGATCTTATATTGTGGGTATCTGTTTGTGATGATGAACGTTTGTTGTTGGTTTGTGATGAGTTTGAGTTTTTATTAGCGTTAAGAGAAATCATGTGATTGTATCTGTTTTTGTGGTTCTCGTGGATAGTGATTTTTTCTTCTTTTCTATCAATAAATCTTTTGTTATATATTTTACGGTTATCACTTGTTGTTTTGAAGTTTATATCGTCACAGTTTTGAGAAATATGTAAAGGGGATCCACAAGTGTTGCAAGTTTTGGCTGATATTTGCCCTGGAATGATATAGATGTTGTGGTTCTCGAATAGTGAAGACGCGCCTCCCGTAGCGTTATCAGGGTAATTTTCTGGTGAAACATATACGTAAGCGTTTTTCATAGTTGAATATCGAGTCGTTTGTGTGAACGTACAAGTACGTCCATATACATGTTTGATAAGTGGATTAAGATCCATAGCTGTTGTGTTGAGTGGTAGTCCAGTAATTTTAAATTATTTACTGGTGCGTTTTTGATACTCAGGGTCATTCTGATTGCCTGGTAGAATTCTTACTACGAAATTTTCTATTTCTAAGCTCCAATAGTTTTCTTTCATGAAATAATCGTAGGCGGATTGTTTATCGAAGCGTACGATTAGTTGTTTGTATGCCGGTTTGATGAAAATCGGGCGTCCACGATTGTTGCGGTTAGGTAATTTTCTTGGCTGTTTTTTGAGTTCTTTATGGTCTATAATATTGCTGTTGGTCTTGATAGCAAGGTGTTTAATAAGCATTGATGTGTCATAATTATAAGGTATTTCCATAATTTTTATGACTGCTGCGTCCAAGTTAGCGAATTTTTGATCCAATAAGGTGTTGATAGCTTCATTGGTTAATTCGTATATTTTAACCTGTTTAAGGTTATCAGGGCTCTTTTCTATATATTGCTTAAGTGAGTCCCATGTTCTAAAATATATAGTAAAATATTTGTATGTGGAAGTTACGTTGGATTCAAATTTGAAGGCGTTACTGTCACGGATAAATGCCGTTTTTAGTAAGTTAATTATTTCGTTGTTTGAAAGATCAGATTTAAAACTATCTCTGGGAATAAATCCTTTGTGTGCTTTGTTAAGAGCTTGTGATGTTTGTGTAAAAATATCAGTTAGCACGTTCATTGGAATCGCATTTGGTAAGTTTGATTGTGTGGCTGTTTGTGATTCCGGTGATTTTCCTTTATCTGGATTAGGTTCCGAAGGATCTTCCTCCATATTAGTCAAGTTTTCGTTGATTGGTGTTTGCGTGTGAGTATCATTTTTTGATAGGTCACGTGATGTGAGTTCAATTTCTCTGTGAGAGAGGTCGTGAGTTTAAGAAGTAGCTATAACTTCTTCCATAGGACAGTCCGTAGGTACTTTATCGATATTTGGTTCAGGAAGGTTATTAGGTTTACTGTTAGACATATTGTTAACTGTGTTTGGTGAAGAGTACGTATAGTATATATCTTCTTCGTTAGTTACCGAACGATAAGATTTTTCTATGTTTTTTAGGAATTTTTTTGAAAATTTTTTTCCAATATTAAAACTCATATGATAATGTTCCGAAGAGAACGTAGAGGCCAAAACTGGTGAAGAAAATGGTACTTGTCTATAAAGAAATGCGTTTTTTAACGAAAATTTCTTCTGTGAATTTTTGGTATTTTACGATCGTCGGAAAGAGTTTTTTTTCCAGGTAAGGAATGATATTTTTAGTGATATTTAGGAAATGATTTGTAAAATTGTCACGTGATCAAAGAATTTTCAATGTCAAGACCTAATCATTTAAAAATTACATCATAATTCTGGCTAAATTATCTATGTAATTTCATTGTTTTGAGGATAAAAATTATATCACGTGATAATATAAATTTGTAATTCTGGCCGGTATCATAAATTTGGCCTGAATTAAATCTAAATGACTCAAATGACAATGAATGACCTGGTCATTTGCTATTACTGGGTTAGAGTGAGTGGATTAGGATTAGATAATTGTCGGTGAAATGATTGTCAGTAAAATGAGCCAGGCCCGTCTTTTGCATCCAAAAGATCATATCGGATTTGATAACAAGCAGATGGTAATATTTCTCCTACAATTTTTTGAGAAAATCAAGGAAAATCAAAATAAAAATAGATGGTGCAAGATTAATAAACAAACTGAAACTCCCACCACTTACTAAAGATTACCTATTGGAGTGCTACCTGGGCTATAGTTCCTCTCATCCATTAAATCAAGGCCAATTTGTGATTATTGTAGTAATAACAATATTTTTATATGTACTGTACTCATCTGTAGACATGTACCATCAAGAATGTTTTATAAGGTTGGGATCTGTTTCAATGAGTATTTTTTCATGAATTAACAAGATCATTTAATGAGTACTTACAAATGGAATCTGACATTAAAAATGAATTTGATTTGCCATCTGATGATGATATTCCACTTGAACAAGCAGAAAGAATTGAATACAATAATAATAAAGATACATATGTTGTGAAACTTGTAGAATCAATTTCAGGTATTAAATAGTATATTACAATAAAGTAATTATGTACATAACTAACTTGAAATTGTCTTTGTTAGATTTTATTCAGAATACGAATATTTATTAAACAGGTAGCATAATTTAGTGAGCCAATAAAAATCGTAAAAATAATCAAATACAACTAAAATTGATTATCACGTGAAATCAGAAATTTTATTGGTAATCATTGTGTTACGTGATCTACGTGTCTAATGTCTAATTATTTGGTATATTTCAAGAGTCATGTAACCTTGTGAAATAATAATAAAAATAAAAATAACAATATTTCAGGAGTCAATATAGGTAGTGTTACATATAATGATGATACTCAAAAAAAAAAAAAGAAAATAGGAAGTGAATATATATACAGTATAATGATGTCGTCAAATTTTTTTAACGTTCGTCGTGCAGTTATACAAATTCCTTTTTTGCAAAAAATATTGGTATGCAATTATTAATTGATCTGTAATATCACACATATCATAAGGATAGGATGTATATAATATATAGTATATGTAAAATATAAATAGTAAATAATATATATGTGTAAATTTTTTGAAGTAGTGCAGGAAAAATTATGCAAAGAAAAAATATTAATTCGGTATTAATTTTAATGATAATGAATAATTTTAAGGATTTTATTTTATTAAAACATTATTATAACCTTTATTCTTACATTTAATTATTTTATTAATAACTTTTAATTTATGTAGTACGAAATTTTGTTTATATATGCGCCTCATTTCATAAATTTAAAGCAACCAATCTAAATAATTTTCACTCACTATTCAGGGTCCTGTTTGTGACGGAACAAAAACAGGGGACAACACAAATTTTACTAGGTAAAAAGTCATTCCGGGAAATTAATTAACTTTTTTAATTTTCTTTAATCCCTTTTAATCCTTTCACATTTTCAAAATATGTTACAAATTTACCCAAGTGTTGTATTACTTGTATATTTGAAACAGCAAAATGTGTAATATGCGTTTAATAGTATTAAGTTGACAAATTAGGCAATTTCATAGATTTTCAACATTGTTTCCAGTTTTAGAATATAAGAGTTATTTGTTACGTCAAAAAAATTCTTTTGTTTAAATGTTTCATGTATTAAATTATTATTTTTAGAAATGATTGTAGACGCACTCATGCCAACGTGTATACTTTGACTGCGATTATATTTTCGATTACAAAATAAAGGTAAAATACATTATGATAAAACGGATTGTTATTAGTAATGATACAGAAAAAAGACAAAAGTTCCGAGTTGCATACATTCAGTAAATGCGTTTCAATTTTTTTTATAACGACCCTATAAAAACGAAATGTGCTAAAAGTTCGTACTCATGTGTAATAAATGTCTAAAAAAGCACCATTTTGTTTAATTTTTGTTTTTTTGTAATAAGACATAAATCGGATAAAATGGTGCTTTTTTAGACATTTATTACACATGAGCACAGATATAAAACAAATTTAACACCTTTCGTTTTTATAGGGCGATGATTTTTTTTTAACAAAAAAAAAAGGTCAAATTATGCGTATAATTCATAAATTGTTTTTTTAATAGTAGGAGAAAATTTTATAAGTTCCCAGAGAATTCAGCAATAATAATTTTTTTTTTACAATTAACAAAAAAATGTCTAGGCTCTATTATAGACGTTCTTTTCTTGAAGTGGATCCGAAAGCCCTATTTTCGTGTGATATAACTTATGGGAAACTTTACGTTATAATGTGTCATCATAAATATTTCTATTTTTATGATATTCTACTTACGTACTTGATATTGGAAAATTATTTTTTTCATAAAATAAAGAAATTAAATTTTTAATTTACTATAAACGTTTTTAGGGTTTGTGGTATTTTAATTTGCATGATCGTCATTGTTTTAGAAACATCAAAGATACTTTGTAAATATAAAGCTCTAAATACAAAGTGCGTTTTACCATGAACAAGGGAATAATATTCCTTTGTATTTAAAATATAAATACGCGCTCATAAATCATATTAATTATTGACATTATAAAAAAGGTACTTCATAGTAGATATCTCCTTTTTTCTATAATAATTTTCATCCTTTCGTTATCTTAATATCCCCGTTATCTTAATATCCTCGTTATTTTAATATCCTCGTTATCTTAATAACTTTTATCTCTTCGTTATTTTAAATTTTCATCTCTTCATTGTCTTAATAATTTTCATCTCCTTGTTATCTTTTTTATCCATCAGCTGGTCTCTTGGTTTTAACTTACCCTAAAAATGAATTCACTAGTTGTTCTTTATAGAATACTTCGTAAATTTTATGGAGAATTGAAGCGTATAGAAAAGTTTTTCTTGTATACATTCATTATAGATATGGTCACATATAGTTTTCTGTTCGTTGGCTCCTTAATCTTAGCAGGAAATTTCGAAATTCATTTTATAATTATTCCATTAATATTTTTTCCTATAATATCAGGGATAATTATGGTAATATAATGTTTTATGCTGAAGATTGTTTAATGTAATATTTAATACGGTTATTAATTTATTTTATTATTTGTAGTTCTATGGTAGAACCGTTTATCATGGATTAGCATTCCTTGGTGTACATATGTTTCCTGTTGCTGGAGGAATAGCTAATTTTTATACTCAATATTTTAATTGTAGAGACCATACTGTCTCATGTTTTGCAGATTTAAAGTTTTATACAATAGGATCATCTTTTTTAATTGCACTTTCAATATTATTTCAATTACTACATACATTATATGTGTACTTAATATGGAAGAAAAAGTAAATGATAATCTCTTTTATGTAACTAAAAAAAAAAGAAAAAATATTAAATTAAATTCATTTTTTATTTCATTTTTTTTTAACTTAGAATATGGCCTCTAGTATATAGATTCAAAAATTCTAGACATGATGAGATTAAAGGTAAAATAATTCAAATCCTTCAGCGTATATATATTTGTTTAGTTTCTAAGTTTTTCTTTTTCTTTTTTGGCTTAGAAATGCATGCAATATATGAAGTCCAATTTCCATTGTTTCATGCGCAGATTATGATGATAGAATTATTGTTATTTGCTTATTTGGTAGGAATAAGTGGTATAAACCTGATCGCACTAACAAAAAGACGAATTAGTGTTAGAGACGTATTTATCAATTATCAAGTGCCACTCAACATAATATTTATTTATTATTCATACTTTATGCTCAAAGGTGTAAGTACATTATTTTTGCTCTTTAATATAATGTTATTATATTAAACAATTTTGTTTTATACATCAACATATTTAGGTGAGGGACGAGAAACATTATATGATGTGTATTGTATATGTAGGAAATATTATTCAAGTCATATTATTATATTTTGATATGGCTAGTTTCTGTAAACGAGTTAATGTATTGATAAAAGCAGATCATCCGTTACAGTGCTTTCAATATAATTTGCCTATGTGTGCATTTTTAATATACGGTAATAATAATTTCACATAATTTATATTGTTTTAAATTAGTAAATTAATATAAAAATTATACTAATAATTCATTTTTTAAAAAATATATTTATATAATAGCGTGTCTATGTTGGATTGTTTTGGCATTATCAACATGGAACACGATTAGGTGTCATAAAAATTTCGGTAGACATATGTCACATTACAGTATGTGAATTTTATTCTTCATTCTCATTATTCAATTTTTCCCTCATTACTAATAATTAATTAACTCTTTAAATAGTAACATACGAACCAACCCCTCCGGAATTTGAACCCGGAAGAAAGTTAGTAATAAGAGAATCAAGTGTGCCAAAGTATTCACACATCGTCTAATTTAAAAATGGATTTTAAGCAATTTTTTTTAGAGAAAATATATAATTATAATAGAAAACCAATTATTTTAATAAATAACGTAAAAATTTAATAAAAATAAATTTTCCTTCTAACGAATGAAACAACTGAAGTAGTAAGTTACGAAATAAAATAATTCAATATGTTTTAATTTAAAATTTCATGGCTCATTACGATTAGAACTCAATAAAATGATTCGCGATAACCAATTGAAACTTTCTTCTCGAGTCATAATCAATTTTATCATTATGAGATTATAAATTTCAACGATATTACAAATACCGAAATCTAAATTTAGTAACCGATATAGATGTTCGATTACAAGAATTTTCTACCGGATTATTCTTAATATTAAAATAACATATTTATAAATAATAAAATTGTTATTGTAGGTGTAAATCAAAACCATCGTACTTCACACATAATAATAAGATATAAATATACTAACAAAAAATGTACCATGTCTTAATCAAAAGCGTGCTTCATTGTCTATTATGACAAAAGAAGAAGCTTTGTCATAAAAAAGCTAATGGTTCATCAACTTAAAATACCGAACTTGCTAAATATTATTACTAATTATACTAACTCAAATATGGTTAGTGATATCTTAATTATTTGCCTTTAGTTTTGAGTAAAACAGGTAGAAATACTTAATTCCTCCTTTTCACCCCTAGCATAAGTCAACCAGCTAGGTTTCGATGATCAATGTAAAAAGAAACAAATGATACAACAAATATTTGGATGTCTCATTGAACGTGAAGATACAGTATAGTGCAGATAAATTTGGTAATACATTTAGGAAAGGAAATAATTTCTGAGCGACCATATGATAAATCGAGCAAGGTGTGGATTACCCATTTATTTCAGCTCATGCCTTCATAGAGAGGAATAACAACAGATTATATTGGTACTTAGGACCGGGATATGACACGACTCGCGGATACTTATTTAAAAAATTATAATATAGGGAGTAAGTTATTATTAATTTACCAAAACTTTAATAACGAAAAATTTTTTTATATGTTCGTTATATTAAAGATTTAGACACTCATATACAACCCAAACTTTGTAGAAAGCCGTTCCCGTATTATGAATTTTTATATTTATTTTTCTTTTTTTTTATTTTAACGGTAAGGGTATAGTACGTACTATTTTCTTAATTTCTTTATTTTAGACTTTTTTTTAGTGTCTTTTTTGGGACTATTCGGACTTTAGAAATGTAAGCTTTTCATACGTGGGTAGATTTCTTTTGCTTCTTTTTGTTTCTTTATCTTTTTTTTAAGAATAATTTGAAAAAATAAAAAAGATTTGATTGATTACAGCAGTATTTATAATGTTGATCGCTGCCATGATCATGAGCACCGTAAGTACTGCGGTCCTACGTGATCCTTTCGCGTGTGCTGTGGATCGATGATTATCTTTAGTTATTTGCACTTCCAAAGCTATTGACTTTTTCGATAAATATATATAGAATATTTAAAGAATACTTGATATTGTTACCAGTATTTTATCGATCGACGATAATATTGCCGGTACCATACCGATCTATTAAATAAAAAATACGGGTTATCACGGGATTGCCGATCTATGTTTTGTCAAATATGTCAAACATAGTAAATATAGTATACATATTTTATATACTGTAGTTCACATAGTATATATGTATTATATGTTAGATATAGTTAACATTAATTAGAGTAAAATGTAGTTCAATAGAGTTTTCTAATAAAAAAGGTTTTTATGGTTATAATATATAAACTGGTCGTTTGACGTACATTGTTTAAGTGTGTATATTTTGCATTTAACTAAAAGTGAATTTAGTTTTTTGTTTGTTTAATCCTTTATTCGTGTTGGGAGTATATGCCGACGTAAAGCGCTATACTACACGTCTGATTAGATTATTCATTAAGTAATTATACATATAGTTTATCTATCAATTATACACGCATATCTATATACCTTCTACTTACCCTTTTCCTTTTGTTTACGTTTGTAAACGTTAAAGAACTGGCTTAACAATATCAATTCATCCAATGTAGCGGGACAAACGGAAATCCTTATGTGACAGACAGTCAATTTTTCATAAAGTTTGTCCTCCGGACAATAATTACAATAAAATGGTATACTCATACTGAACTTTTAAAAAATATTTCCAACACGGAATCATAGTTAAAAATAATATTAAAATATTGAAATATTGTCTAAATGAAAAATCTAGTGTATATTATTGATACATGATTTAGGTACCTTGTTTCAGCCCCTAAAAGTCTAAAAATGTGCATAATGCACACCAAAAGTTTGAAATCTATGAAAAAGATATAAATAAGCAAAAAAATTTTCATATTGAAGAAAAGCAATTAAGATTCAATCAAAAAAAAAAAACTTTGATAGTTTTTCACATAATTTAAACTTTTAAAATTAAATTTCCTAATAAAATGAATCGGACTGAAGTTATCATTAATTTATCCATTCCATCTATCGCAACTGCCGAAGTCACTGAAAACCGGTTAAATCTGTTAAATCTAATTGTACAATAATGTAATAAAATAAAAGTTTTTACATATTATCATAGAATCTGATTGGAAATTAAAAACATTGTGTAAATTTTGTAAACTTCTTCAATAACCATTTTATTGATATGTCTATAGTTTACAACTTTTAAATCTTAATACATTGTGCCCAACTTTCATTAGTATTATTATAATTATTTATAATTATCAAATTACTTAATAATTCGAGTCGCTATTCATATTTTTTTTATCCTTTATTCCGTAATCTACCATTTTTATGTATTCCAATAATTACAAAATAAAATCACACTAACTTTGATAAGTTTGAAGTTAGAACCTTTGCCTTAAAAGTTGTAAACGAAAATTTATTCTTTGAAATAATCTTTTTTTTTAAAAACTATTGTAAAATAAAAAGATTTATTGTCTTAATGGCTAATTTTCTAATAGTTTCTAATAAGCGTATTTGTAGGCAATTTTTTTTTGTATACAGGTGTATCAGGAGTTCAGGATCCGGATGATGTCATATCCATAAATTTGATCATTTCTTTTACCTTGGACTTTAAGGGAATGTTTAAGATCGATTGTGACAAAATTTTTTTTTAAATTTACCCTAACTGAGATTCTGAGAAGTGATTTCATTGACGAAATTTTACGTAATACGTAAAACTTTTCTATATAAAGAGCACCTCACCTAGCTTGCAGTTTGTGGTCGCAAAAGAGTGAAAAAAAGCAAAAAAAAGTTTTGGAAATTACAAATACACAAGCAAAAGCAAAAATGAGTCCTGAATCAATTTACTAACTACTATGAATTATTTCAGGAACATTGTAATAAATCGTTTGCTATGGTCGTAATACAAACCCTGTAAAAAATTTTATCCGTGATTTCTGTAAAAACTCCGTGAATATGATACATTTACGGAAATAACATGGAATAAAAAAACACAGAATAAATTTTTTATAGAGAAAAGGATCTAAAGGTGCAATGATACCATAAAGGATACCACTTATCGTGGAAAAAATGATCAAAAAAAAGGGTTTGGTTATCTCAGGAACAATTTACAAATAATGTGATTTCTACTATAATTTAGAACGGTTAGAATTGCAAATTGCAAATTACTGTAAGGAACTTCATATTAAAATTTTGATGTACACTAAGTACGAAGGCTTATATGTGCGCCACGCACGCTGGTATTCAGGAGTCCTGTGACAAAACAAGGGTTAACACAAGTTTTACTAGGTAAAATAGCCCTTCGCTTACACTCCGGACAATTAATTAAACTTTTTTAATTTTCTTTAATCCCTTTTAAAGAAATGAAATCCTTTCGCATTTTCAAAACATGTTACAAATTCCTCTAAGTGGTGTGTGCTTGAAACAGCAAATGGAGGGAAAATGTGTAATATGCGTTTAATAGTATTAAGTTTACAAAATAGGCAATTTCATGGATTTTCATCATTGTTTCCAATTTTAGAACAGAGAAAGGAAATTATTATTTGTTATGATATGTCGAAAAAAAATCTTTGTTTAATGTTTCATATATTAAATTATGGAAATAATAATTTTTACGCAGGGGCGTTGCAACGCACCCCCCTTTTGGAAATTATTATATAGTAAATTTGCCAATCATTTGTGACACGTAATATCATAAATTTCGTTTTTTTTTTTGAATAAACGCGGTGCAAACCTTATGTACTTATTATAGAACCTTTAAAGTACACGGTCTATGCGTATTTTTGCCTGCTCTACAACTTTACCTATAAGACTAAAAAGGGTTTATAATACTAATTTTGACTTTTACATATAATATAATATAATATAGGAGGTGCGTTACGTATAAAATTTAAACCTTATTTTTCGATTACAAAATAAAGGTCAATATATTTAAAGTACTGTACATTATAGAAAAACGGATTGTTATTAATGATACAGGAAAAAACAAAGTTACGGGTAAGACAGTAAATGCGTTTCAATTTTTTTTGATAATGATAATTTTTTTAACAAAAGTACTGTGCGAATTTTTTTTTAATAAAGAGAACAACAAAGTGAAGAAAAAGGTCAAACTATGCGTATAATTCATAATTTGTTATTTTTTAATGGCACAGGAAAATTTTACAAAAGTTCCCAGATAATTCAACGAAAATTTTTTTTTTAAAAAAAATAAAAAATGTCTATCATAAAGACGTTCTTTTCTTGAAATTTGCAGGATGATCTAAAAGCTCTATTTCATGAGATAGAACTTATGGGGACTTTAGCGTTATAATATTATTGAAAATATTGATATTTTTATGTTATTCTACTACATACTTGATATTGGAAAACTATTTTTTTCATAAATAAAAAATTTATTATTTTTTTTTTTGCGCTAAGATTGTAAGTCAATTAAAAGTAAACAGTACAAAACCATTGATACAAATAATACAAACTAAAAAGAACTAATGGCTCCCCTATCTACCATAGTAAACTACTCAGACAGACGAACCCAACCTAATTTTTTATTTATTTAAAACAAAGATTTGTTAGCTGTCGATCATATTAAAATAGAAAAGTTTGATTCGAATTTATATGATGTATTATATAATGTAACATCTAAGCCCGTGATAAGTCACGTTGCCACCTGAGATATTGACAAAATAATACTTTATTAATAATATAAATAGATACAATAATATGCTTGGTTTAATAATGTTAAATAACAATTAAATATTTATCCTAAATTTTCAAATTGCGATAATTTTCCCATATTAGAACCCTTTCAATAATACCATTAAATTAATTAATATGACACTTTTTCATCATAAGAAAAAGGCAAAAAGAATCGAAATCCTCTATTCTAAAAGTAAATTATAATTATTACTTATTTTCAAAATTCTTAACCTCATTTCTTGAGGACGTCGGATTTCATTCCTTTTTAAAAGAATTTGGTACTTCATTTTCTTTCGTTCGTTAATCACAACCATCATTCCCTAGTATTTGTCATCATATCCAAAATGATCATAGTAATGATTACATAAATTCCTAATTATATATGTTCTTTATGATTTACCAACTAATCACTTGACCCAATTATCTTCTAGTTTAATGTCATCTCGGACGTTAATCCCTTAATCATCTGTTTCATAGTTTAATGTCATTGCGGACCAATTAAAATACAATTTTACACTAATTTTAAATATAATACTGCGCCTCATAATTAATAAATTTACTAGGTAAGTTACGGCATTACAATAATCAGCAAATCAATACCAAAGACGGGATCAGCATCTTAATGGAAATCACTCAAAAACTAATCTTATGTTAACGTTAACCTATCATGACATGTCATTTCAAGTCAATAACGTTAACGCGCCAGTCGCGCCGCATAAGGTCATAATACACTTTTATAGAATTTCTTTTACTAAAAAATTGTGGGATAAAAATTTTGGCAAATCATGTGAAAAACTGAATAATTTTTTTTGTCATGATCAACAATCGGATGATAAAATTTTAAATAAATGCTTTATCAAGTAAAAAACAATCTGTCTGTATTATTATTTAAATATATTCTGAACAAAAAATAAACAACAATCAGATAATTAAGCTTAAAATGATTAACAAGCAAAATAAACATCCTTTACCAAATAATAAAAAAAATTATGTTAATAGCTAGTTAAGAGTAATTTCTCATTTTTTTTATAGATATGTTAAATATAATAAAAAATTTTGCAAATAAAATGAAAGTTATGGTTTGGCTAGAAAAACCCCGGTGAGCGAAGCAAGCCAAATGAAATTGCATCGTCATAATAAATCACATGAATATTTAATACACAATCACATGATCTACCAGTAATTTTTCCACCAGTTAAAATTTAGAAATTCTTAAAAACTATTTATCATAATTATGATACTGTATGGTAGTATAAATCAACTTAATTAAAAAAAGTCAGAATCATTACAGTTCTAATAATACTATAATTATAGCTCCCTGTCATGTTTAACGTTAACTTGTTAACATTTTTACAAGTAACCATCACGTGCAGAACTATCACGTGCGTGACTGGGTTGGATGATCAAAACTCATATTCAAGTAAACATCATTTCTGTTCTTAAATAAAATTAGAGACTCTTGTATTAATTAGAAAATCGTTTTCATGATTCTGTGTATTTGTAATTGTACAATAAAATAGAAATTATGTGACTTAATTTTAGTGAACATGAGCAATATATATCTCACCCATATATTTGCAAATTAGAAAAAATGTTCATTTGTGTTGAACTTTATTATGATAAAATAAGAAAAATGCAAATAATTAATAGAGCTGAATATATTATTCATATACGAACATACGAACTATATATATATAAGTGAATGACAATCTTTCCTTTGCAATGAAGTGGACATTTTGAACATATCCTTCTTACAGGAGAAGGGCAATCAAGAAAACAATAGTGATGTTGATAGTGATTTTAAAATCAAATTGAAAATACTGGGATAAACCAAATAAATAAAGTAAATAGCATAAATCGTTCTAAAAACCTTATTTTAATAATTTTGAACTTCATTAAACTAAAGAGTTAAATTCTGTATTTTCTGTATTTTCATTATCTTGTCTGTTGATTTCTTTGTATTTTTTAAGGAGACTTTTACGTTTAGTTCTAACATCTTTAACTTTCTTAAGATAATAATCATCTAAATAATAATCTCGTAATAAAGTTTCCAAAATTTGAACCCTTTCCTCTAAAGAAGATCCCTCGGGTCTTTTATTAACTTTTTCAACTAATGGAATACCAGAGGATGAAACATATTTTCTTGCAAAATTTCTCTTTAAACTTTTTCTACAATACGAGCAAGAAAAAAGGTATTTTTGTGCCAAACCCCTTTTTAATATAAAAAGAAAAATTAATTAATATACAATATGTAAAAAATAATTTCTTAATTATTATATATATTACTTACCATGGTTCATGCTTTTGCATTCCAAAAAATAAACAAAAAATTCCTATAAAATTCACATTAATTTTATTAAACTGTATATGTATAATTTTTTTAAAACATGATTTGTATCTTACCAACTATAGCACCGTAGAAACCTCCAAGATTAGATATTAAATCTGTATCTAATAAAATTAAAAATATTAATTTGACTGAATTTACATTAATAAACATAAGAAAATATACTTACAACCAAATATTTTTGTTGATTCAAATCTAGCAATTCTCGAATATGAAAGTTCGATTGGTAAAACTTTAAGTCGAACTTCATTGGATTCTAATTGTATGGGTAGTTGTTCTAATTGTAGATTTAATTCCAATTTATATTTTAAACTTCCAAAAGTATCTTCATTGTTAATAATAATCGGTTTGTAAGATATAATATAAGCACTTCCTAGGTAAAGTGAAAAATGAGTTATTGTTTCTATTATCCCTATATTGTCATTATCATCATTTTTAATACTGTTAATAATATTATATTTATCAGTATTGAAAATTAGATCAGGTTTGTAAGGAAGTAAATATTGAAATGATTCAAAATTTAAAGACAATATATTATTAGGAATAGTATGAGGGTTACAATAAGGATCACTAAAATTGTGAAATATGGTTTCACTAATATTATTATTGATATTAGTAGTAATATTTAGCCAAGAATAAGAATATCCAATATCAAACAAGCTAACATTCTGATGGTTTATTGTATCGTTAGATAACGTCAGTTCTCCATAAAATTCAGGGAGCACATTAAATTTAACGTTATTAATCTCGTTGGAAATTTCGGTACATATACTCATGTTAAGTATATATCCTGTTTTTTGAAAATATGTGTGTTTATTTTATTTATTGTTAATTTCGATTCTTTATAAAATTTTTTCCTACCAGTAGAATATTCAAGCTTTATAGTAATAAAGGCTTCTTTATCAAGTCTTAGATATTGATTGACTGAATAATATATGATTATCCCGGTGAGAGTAATAGCAAAAAAACCTCGAAAAAATCTAAACCAAACCGGTTCAGTTGATCGATAATTATATATTGCGCTTAAAAACATTTTTATTGTAGAAATAAAGTTTTATTTTTTTGCAAAAGAGGTTTTATTATGATCCAAGCCTAACATATGGACCGATTTGACTGCATCATACCAATAGTAACCAATTCCCATTTACTATGAAATTATCACATGCAATGCGTCAAATCAGCCCATACGATATTTTTTGGAATCTACCTGTTTCTTTCTATAATTGGGAAACAAGGTCTAGTAAAGTTGCTGCCCAAACAACACTAAAATCTATAAACAGATTTAACCAGTTTCTTTTCTTTGCGCAACATCGAAATTTGACGACTTTACTTTTTTTATATTTTCAATTAAAGTCTATAATTGGTATCGTGTGGGGTCCGGGACAATCACCTACGCCGATCAATTATTCATTAGATGAGTTGATCTACAGTACATGTATAGTTAGTTCACTGAATGATTTATTATAAAAATACATTATAGTTTATTATAAGAAAAAAAAACATGGATTTCAATTCTAATAATGAAAATCAGAACAAACGAAATCGTTACTTTAATATTATATTCCTAGGAATATTTCTTACTGAAATTATAATTTACATTATAGGCATAGTTATATTACCAATAAGATCAGACTGTTTGATTATACTTGTCTCTGTAATCTTTATATCAGGAATTTATACCGTAAGTTACTTTCTTTTACTAACTTATTTTACTTTTATATTTAATATACTAAAAAATTTTCTATTTCGTTTATAAAATAGTTTTTTAAAAAAACTTTACTTTATTTATCAGCTTTTTGTGTGGTAAATGTGATACAATGTATTATTTTAATTGATTTTGCGAGTCTTTATCGTTACACGATCATACTCCGTAAGAGCGAAATCAATAATGCCTTGGTAGATAATAATTATTACGATATTCTTTTATTGTCAAGTACTATAATTTATATTTCTTCATTATCATTATCATCAATTTACGTTAATTCTCTAATAACATTATTAAAAAAAAAAAATTTCATGTAAAGTTACAAAACTTCACGTTATTAAAAAGTTTTACGAAGATAACGGATTAAAAAATGAGTTTGATGAGAAGAAATACAGAACAACATTTATTATTCCAAATATTATTGCTATTGTTTTAATAATAGTTTTTGTTATTCTATATATTATATTAATTTTTATGACGTGGAAAAATGAGTAGGTTGAAATTCATCTTTTTAATAAATTTTTTAAGCAATTTTTTTTTAATGATTATTAAATTTAGATACTGGGATTTTATTTCACGTACCAAAATCTTCATACCAAATGATAAGATAAAAAGTAGGTATTATTTGTTATAAAAATTGTTTATTAGTACTAATTCTTAATCCATTTTTTTTTCATATATATTAACATTTCTTAATATTAGAATCTTATATTATATACAAATTTTATAATTTCTTATTGTATATAATATTACATTTTATTATCGTATTTCATCTAATTAGTATTAGTAGTATTTACTATGATCCTTATCTAGTGAGTGTGTTTGGTGGTAACTATATTCATTATTTAAGTCCTATTAGGTTAAGTATTATAGTAATAAATTTTTTGTCATTATATACTTTATTGTTAAGCTTAAAAATTGTAAGTATATTTATTTATTTATTTAAAAGCTATTTATATAAAAATTTATTAATTTTTAATGAATTTAGATCAGAAAAGAATTGAAGTTTAGTATTTTTTTAATTTATGGTGCCCTTATTGTACAATGTCTTCATTTTTATTTTTGGCTAAAGCTTCGAAGCAGTTTTGCGCCTGCGTTTCCGATAAGCAGTAAGTTATTATTTTATTAAATTTTAATTTAAAGAATCCATTGTAATTTAACAATTTTTAAATTATTTATTGTTTAATACAGGATTCTTAGGATTGATTTTTATAGGATTGACGTTCATAAATATGATTTTATGTCATCGAAATTTTGGTAAAAATCATATACTTCTCTGTAAGTACAGTATTATTGTTACATTTTTTTCTATTTCATTTATTTTTGAATTTCAATAATTATCACTTAATGTTCATTTAATTTTTTAGTGAAGTTTAATCCTAACTTGAATAACTTGGAATATGAATACTCAAATGATCTGGATGACGACGACGATGATGACGAGGAAGAAGAAGAAAAGGATGAAAAAATTTCTGAGAAATTAAATCGATATTGGAAATTTATTAAAAAAACTTCTATTTTATTAGTAGAATATATCAAGAATGTTAAATTTATGAATTAATTGATTATTTATTTATTTGTTTATTTTTTATTTTTTTATTTTTTTTTTATTTTTGTTTTATTTTATCATAAAAGAGAGATATAATATTAGAGACAACCTTTTTTAAAATTCATGACATTTTAAATTAAAATCTTATGAATTTATCCAAAATATGTATAATTTCTTTATAATTAAAGCACGACAGACTTTATTATAAACAGAATCAACAATCATAATAATATTTACGATATGGCAATTGTCACATCATCTTTTTATCAAATCATATTAACAGGCAAAATTATGTATTGATGCGTATATGTGTACGGCACATATCTTGAACTTAAAAGTTTATATATTTTAAATTAATCTTTTTTAATACCATATAAGATATCTAAAAAAGGCTTAGGCGCTTAGCCATTTAAGTCACAAAGACAATTAACGATTTTTATCCCAGAACTTTCCTATGAGAATCCTTCTTTAAAGAAATCTATATTCTTGAATCATAAAGTCGTTTCATGAAAGATTAGCTCGAATGAATGATTATTATTATCCCATCGGTACTATGTATACACCGATGGATTTTTTTGCAAATTATTCCACCGGTATAGAAAAAGTATAAAAAAGTATAAAATCCATTGGTGTATACGCCATACACAATGAGATAAACCTGTTATTCCATGGGTATCTAGTAAATACTCCATATACACCGATGCTCCCCTCCCTTCGGGGGGCCCCAAGGCATCGGTGAATATTTCAGTTATTCATTGATACCCATGGAATAACAAGTATTTATTGCCGAACAATGAACAAGTTAATCGATTGAAGTGTACATTAAACATAATAAATTATTTTACATTTAAAGAATCAAATTCTTTAATTAAGTAAATCTTCACTAATCTGTTGTATTGATACTATTATCATAATAACTAACTATATTTTCTCGACACGTGATAACATCCAATTAAATTATTATAATCTTATAACGAATTTGAGGTGAAAACTTGAAGGGCTCGCTGTATTGAGGGCTGATTGTATTATTCAAACTATAAAAACTATAATAGCATTAAGTTTTGTATTTTCTGTATTTTTTTTGTCTTGCCTGTTACTTTCATCATATTTTTTAACGAGTTTTTTATGTTTAGTTTTAACATCTTTAACTTTCTTCAAATAATAACTTAAATGATAATCTCGTAATAAAGTTTCCAAAATTTGAACCCTTCCAGATTCTTCAGATCTTTTGTTAACTTTTTCAATTAATGGAACACCAGCAGATGAAACATATTTTTTCTTGCAAAATGTCTTTTTAAACTTTTTCTACAATTTATGCAAGAAAAATTATATTTTTGTGCTAAACCCCTTTTAATATAAAGATTAAAAAAAATACATATTCATCACGTTTTTGCATTCTAAAAATAAAGAAATTTGTGAAATTTATTAATCTCCAATTATTTATATATTCTTGTTGTTCTAAATTTAGCAAATCTCGCAAACTATACAATGTAATAGTCATGGCACATGCCATCGTCTTGAAAATATATGTGAAAAAAACTTTAAGACGAACTTCATTGGATTGAGTAGTTGTTCTACTAGTTTTGGTTTTAATTCCAATTTATATTCTAAACTTCCATAATTATCTTCATATGATCGGTTCTTCACATATAATTATTGAAAATTAATTTAGGCTTGCCGTCACGACAGTAAATTATTAGGAATAGTATGAGAGTTACAAAAAAGATCACTAAAATTATGAAATAATGTTTTCACTCATATTATTATTGAGATTAGTAGTGATATTCGGCCAAGCACAAAACAATTCATCTGTTACATATCCTCCATAAAAATAAGACAAACTGACAATTTGACGATATATTGTATCATTGTTTATTGTAAAATGAACAATACTTTTGTTATTAAATTTAACATAGAATAAGAGGATAGTTAGTTAGGATTTACATAATTACACTCAATGAAGCGAGCATTAGGTTTCTTCTTTGTAACTTTACCCGTATATTTGTTTACATTATAGCAAAGCAAAAAAAAAAAATTGTTTTTTGTTATCATGATTTCTATGCGCGTTAATTGTCCGGAGCGTTAGCGAAGTTAGCGAAGGACATTCTACTGTACTGCATTAGACGATTTTGTGGTAACCCATGCAATTTTCCTTCCTTCCATCCGCTGACGTCACCTTACATTTTAGCCCTTGCTTTTTCCTTTTTTGATTATACCTTGTAACTGATGATTTTGTAATTGCTTATTGTCCGAAGTATGAGGACATTCTACTTCTACGCATTTCAAATGCAATGTCGTTCTGTACTATAGCCTGGTCGACGAATAAAATTTCGTGTTACATATATACAAATTTAGCTGTTATATTGATATTGATTTTGCATAGCTAAAAAATAATATACAAACGCGTAACTCCGTGATATCAACAAAACTTTAATAAATAAATGAGTAAAACTTTAAGCAGAAAGGGTTAAACTTTTACTTATTTTGATAGAAGAAGTACTGTTGAAAATTATATTAAGGGTGAAAACTGATTATATTGTGGCTTAGAACAAAAGTTTTTAGTGAGATATCTTAGACGAATATTACAAGAATTTTTAATATGATCAGAAATTTGATCAAACTGAATCATTTTTATGTCTTCAAATAAAGTTACCGAAATAATCTTCCTTGGAACAGGTATCTAAGCTACATTTTCATAGTCTATATTAATTATGACTGCATTGTTAGAATATCAATAGATTAAGTGTTTAGGAGCATCTTCGGGAGTATGCACACTAACTGTTACAATTTTTTTTTTAATATTACAATTATTGATGATCATGTAATTATAATGCTTCGGACACTCCAACAGTTCCCGTTTCCTAGTTTTATTTACCTACCTGTGCTATTTTTCGTAATCAATTTTTTTTGTCTGTTATGTTTTAATAAAAAAAGATACTGAGTAAATAAACGCGATGGGCTTTAACGTTTTCCGTTTTCCTAGTTATAAATAGATTATTCAAATATTTGGATAAATTCATAAGGGTTTAATTCAATTTCAGTAAAAGATTTTCTCCAATATTATATCTTAGCACTTATCTTAACGATAAAATAAATAAAAACTATAAAATGGTATAAGAAAAATTACTTTATATAAATTAGTAAATATCAAGATTATTCCTGTCCCCCATTTAACTAATAAAATAAAGATATCACAAAAAAATTTTTTTAATGAATTTCCAATATCGCTTTAATAATTTTCATTGGTTGATCGATATAAAGAATTAGAAAAAGATAATGATATTATATACTATTATCGTGCTCCATAAATTAAATATAATTGCCGATAATTTTGTTATTTTTAAAAAATCAAAAATAAGCTATAATTAACGTTAAGCTATAATTAAGCTAAAGTCAATGGGCACGATAATATCGTATATCGTTATTGTGCTTTGCGTTGATAAATATACTATTATTAACCAATTCTAGCATTCTGATTGGACAGATTTGATCACTACGTGACCAAATCTTTACAATCATCTGCTATAATTGGTTAATAATCGTGATATTAATCGTTGATAACTTATAAATATTGATAACCATGTACACACATACACGTGTTTTTTCGTTTAATATACTCGAATAACCAAAATTACAAACATATCCGCAAATAAAAAGCTTATACACGTAATTTTTCACTCATACTGACGTCTTATTATACAAATTTTCGTTCGTTAACTATTAAAATGAATCTGCTTCCCGAGGCAACGTTAATAAATATCACGTGACGTAGATGCCTTCAAGCTTTAAGTTATTCTGGTAAGGTGAAATTTACATTGATTTTTTGTGATCACGTCTTATATTAACTTGCATGTACAGAATTCTAAACAAATCTTCTAAAATTACGCTGGATTGATTATACAATTTTACACGTACTCGTGTGTTTGA